TGTACTCGAGTTTCTCGAATGATCATGAATTTGCCCGCCAGCTCGAGTGTGGTCTAGATGCCCTCTTTTTTAGTATATATAAGCCTGTCAAAGAAAGCCAGCGGCAGATAGATAATTGAGTCAAGCAACAGTAGGCACCATATGCAAAGTGTGTGAATCACTGTGATTTATAGCGTGTGTTATAAAGGTTGTTAAGTTTAACGTACTGATTGTGAAATTATTGTGTGCTAAAAAGTTGTATAGAAAAAGAGTAAACTGGTTTAATCAAGAAAGGACTTGTATCACTGAAGTTCCTCGGAAAGAATTTCTACCGGAAATTATCAAACAAGCAGATACGTAACAATATTAAAGAAACTTTGTTAATTATCTCAAATGAATGAAGTTGTTTACCTAAGAGATTCCATAACATAGCAGATTCAGGAAATGATATTTTTGTAACAGATTGTATCATCGGGCAGTTTATTTTGGATTATTCAGTATAAAAAGAATGCTTTATTAATTTAATGATAATGAAAGTATTTTATTTATCTAAGTACAAGCTATATAAGTTAACTTAATTAATGTTCACTAATAAGCCTAAGTTCACTGTAGCTGCTAAAATAATGTTGTAACGTTGTTCGTTTATTCAGCTAATTTTTAAAATTATTTGTTGAAAATAATAACAAGTCCAGTCCATATAACGAAAACAAATTAGTTTATTTCATCCTTAACTTACATGATACTATCACTTACACAGTTATACTGGTTGACCAAGTTCACAAATGACGTTTCCACTTTCAACAGAAATTTATTCACTAATAGTAGTACGACTAACGTATAAATAAATTTACTTGTACAATTTCACGGCTATTCAACCAAGTAACTGTAATACACGCGATAAGTAACACTTCTTCGTCGAAACACAAACTCAGTATTCACAAAAGTGAATTAACTATCGGACTAAGTGGTTTACAGTAACAGATAAAACTGTCCAACAAACTCACTAACCCAATAATCCACTGTAACAAACTCATAATCAATATTAATCTACACCAACCTAACTCGATCTTATATGGCTCAAATCGCTTTCTAAACCACAACCACCATGTTACGTGAAACCTTACTCTGTCCAGAAATAATAAAAACGTCTAAAGTAACAACACAGTCTACAACACCATATATCTTAAGTAATAAATTCAACACAGACAAAATGAGAAAACATGTAAAGATACGTGATAAAATAAACATTACATGTATTAAAAAATGTTTGTATTGATTATTAAGTGTCTGACTTCTATTACCTGCTATGACCTTTCACTGGCTAGATGGGTAAGAGTGGCTTTCCAAATACATTCATACATTACAAGGACAGAAATAATAATGTTGTCACTGCACTTTCAAGTCAGAGAAAGAAATCCTAGTACGGTATCCCATATACTTTAGATTACCTACGTCAACGACTATTCCAAATAACACATCCAAGGGAGGGAACCTCCAACTCATAAAAACTTTTACATATATGTACGCCATTCTTTGAGATAGGTTTGAGACTTTGTTGTATTTTAATATTGTGTTTGAATTTAACTTCTGAACATTTAATTAAGTTATTGTTAATTATCTATTGGTTTAATGTAAGTGGCTATTGTTCGGGACGAACAATACTAAGGAAGAGGCAGTGTTACGACAGCGGAAGTCGCGTGACACTTGGAGCATGCGCGCTGGAGTTTTTGGAAGGATCATGAATTATCGGGGAGGTTCGAGTTTGTTTGAGGCGCCCTCTTTTTAGTATATAAGCCTGGCGAGAAAAACCAGCGTAAGTGCATAGATAGATAGATCGAAGAGATAGATATAGAGTTTGTTTTCAATTTCGTGCAAAGCTACACGAGGGCTATCTGCGCTAGCCGTCCCTAGTCATCACCACCCACCGCCAACTCTTGGGCTACTCTTTTACCAACGAATTGTGGTATTGACCGTCACATTATGACGCCCCCACGGCTGAAAGGGCGAGCACGTCTGGTGGGACGCCCTAACCACCTGGCCATGCTGGGCCTAGACATAGAGATAGATAATTGAGTCAAGCGAATGGTAGTGACGGTAATATAAAGTGTGTGTTTTGTTATCGAGATTGCAAATGTATTGATTGTAGAAATTCTGTGTATTATAAAGTTGTATCGAGAAAGAATAAACTAGTTTTAATAATAAAAGGACTTGTATCGCTGAACTTCCTCGGAAAGAATTTATACCAGAAATTAACAAACGAGCAGATACGCAACAATACTTATGGAAGGATAAAATTAATAGTTATTTCAACCGTGACAATAAAAATAATTAACAGATTGTTGCTTATTATACACAGCGTGGTCACAAGTAAATATACACCTAATTTTTCGTCATTTAACTGATTTATGCTAACTAATTTGTG